TGTTCAAAACTATGAAAAAAGCATCCAAAAAGCATCCCCGCGGTTGCCTTATTTATTTAGTGAAAATAATGTATTATAAATTATAATACATAGTATAATAGTACAGGGTGTACATTATTGGACTCCGCAAAAGTAAACTCGAATATCTCGAAAAGTATTCGGTCTAGAAATTCAGATACTATATCAAATTAATCATCAACTGCGGGAGTTTATGTTATGATATGGTCAATATAGTGGACCTCCTATTATAGGAGTAATTTCAAAACAAACAAAATTGTGTCATTTTTTCCATAGACATAATGTTAAATTCAAATTTATTTTTGAGCGAAATCATGAAAGTTTTCTTAAGTTATTTTTGCTTCTATTTAAGAATTCAAAACCACAATCTTTGTAATATAACTAGTTTTTGTATTATATAAATATTTTTTGAAAATGTTGTGTATTTTGAGATTATATAATTCGGAAATATGGAGAAATCATTAATAAAACAAAAACTACTTGTCGCATGAAAATTTTGATTACAGATTCTTAAAGAAGGGCAAAAATAACTTGAAAAAACTTTTAGGATTTCGCTCAAAAATAAGTTTGAATTTAACATTATGTCTATGGAAAAAATGACAAAATTTTGGTTGTTTTGAGATTACTCCTATAATAAGAAGTCCACTATATTGACCATATCATAACATAAACTCCCGCAGTTGATGATTAATTTGATATATCATCTGAATTTCTAGACCGAATACTTTTTGAGATATTCGAGTTTACTTTTGCGGAGTCCAATAATGTACACCCTGTACATGTATAATAATAATATTAAAATAATATATAAACAATAGTTAAATTTTAATTGCTAAATTCAGATTTTATTTAAACATTTATATTTATTTAGCTTACAAAATATGCAATATTCATATATATTTCTCTTACGTTAAGTAAAATACATAAAATAACAAAATAAAGATAGAAAGTAAGAAAGTACTTCATATGATATAAAAAGCAAACATCATTTCATAATCGGTGGCATTGATGATAATGTTAAGGCTTATCAATAGACCACTCGTTGCGTTTAGCCAACACTTGCCGGCACTCAGGCCTATCATCAAATACGGGCCAATTCATCATTAACTGTAACATACGGTGCAAACGCACTACCGGTCCGTTGAGCACGTGATCATCCGGATAGGTATCAACAGTCCTGTTATTAACAATACATAAATTGCATAATTAATACACTAAACTAAAAAACGACATATTAAACAGCAATACATCTCACATGGATCCACATCAAATAGCTCTGTGCCAATTCGAGCTAGGCTCCACATGTCCAATTTGTGGCTATCATTGTAACCACTAAACACTTCAGGTGCCACATACCAAAGTGCGCCCGTCATCAATTCGGGTGCCCTATACCTGAGTGAGTCGTTGTTCACGTGGTTAGCCCGAAGGTATACATTGGCCAAACCAAAGTCACCTAGCTTAATAAACCGGCGGCTCCTATGATCGCCATCTAATCCATTGACAGTCAATACATTTTCGGGTTTGAGGTTTCGATGTATTATCGGAGGTCTTCTCTCATGTAAATACTGGACACTCTCTAAGAGTTCTTTGAATATTTCACACGATTTGTAATACTCTAACGGATTCATCGGTTCCGCCGATTGTCTACCAAATGCCAGCGCTTTGTCGGCCAATACTAAGCGCAGACTTTGCGGGCAATACTCCATCTGAATGTACAGTCGATTGGTGTCGAGCCATGAGTTGTGATACTGAACCACATATCGTGAGCGCACTTTTGCCAAACTTTTTATCTCTTTTAGCACTTGATGTCTGTGTTCATCACTAATGGCTGCAAAATGTATGATAAAAATAGTTAATAATTAAAAATTATATCTTTGTAAAAATGTTACCTTGTAAATGCACAATTTTAATCGCTTTCACCTCACCATCCAATTTATTTACCACTTTATACACTGTGCCGAACTCACCCCTCCCTAAAAGATTCAGCTCATTAAACTCATCTATGTTAACAATTTTCATATTTTACAAAATATTTGTGAATTTGAATAAATTATATTTAAATAAATTATTTTAAACATAAATACAATAAATAAATGTAGAATAATTTTTGATTTACTGCTTTAATAATAAAATATTTTGTGGTTAATAACACATTGAATACAAGCTTTTATAGCAATTATCATAAATGATAGTTTGAGTAAAAACCCAATCAATACAATCCAATGCAAACATTATTCTGTTGTTTAAACAGTGATAATTTAACTTATAAAGTCAACATGGTTTGTAGTAAGTATTGATTATGATAAAATAAATTTTGTAAGCAAGTAATAGGAGTAGATGCTATAAAAACGTTTGTATTTAAATATTTCAAATCTATTTTAACTATTTACCTAAATTATCATACGTTGATTAAGGTTATGATCAAAATTAATCATATTGTATGCTTACGTTAGTATAAATTAGTGTCATAAACACAATTAAACATGCATTAAAATTAATGTTTATTTGTTGTAAACAATTTATTATAATTAATATTTATGTAATTTTAATTGGCAAATAATTTAAAAAAAACTATTGATTATTTATAAATATATTTAATTTCACTTTCATTTAATTTAAACAAATTTTTATTTTGAGATATAAAGTAGAAAATAAATAAAAATTTGTTTATAAAAAGTCATTACAGTCAACGATCGATGCTATGAACAGATTTGGTTCAGGAATTTGCTTCATAACATCGATTAGTTCACAACACCGATCATAGTTTAACATTAAGTTAATGAAGATTGGGTTTTGGGTTTAGATAATAACATCGACAACTTCACAGCATCGACGTTCATAACATCGATGGCTGACTGTATATTTAATGTAAACATTTCTTAGTCATGATTTATTCCCTTTCAAGAAATTTCTTGTAAAATTAATATAAAACAGTAATTATTTCTTAATACAGTGCAACTTCTCCATAAGGAACGGCCAGTTGCACGGCAAAAGTGTTCCCTATAGAGAGGGTTCCTCCAAGGGAG